CTCGAAAATATTTTGCTTCATACATTACACATTCTTTTTTTATAGTTATTTTTTCTCTTTATAAAATAGATTTTGTTTTATCATAACTCTTTGTTTAGCTTTTTTTTTCTAAAAAGGGGGCGTGGCCGAATTGCCTAATTTGTTTTCAAATGAAGTTTTCTTCACCTTATAACTTCCCGACTTGCATAAATGATATATCAATCGAAAGATAATAATGCAAAGAATGAAATGAAATAAAAAATTTTAAAAAACGATAGGTCGGTGATTTTGGTGGTACCAAGTCCCGTTAAGCAATACAGGTTATGAAGGAAAGCTACAATTTGGTTTAGAGAAAGCTATCATTTATTCCAGTGAAGCGCTAGTCACACACATCACACACACCGAAATTTCAATAATTGCTACAGCTGTTCCATAAGTAAATGTGATTTTCCATAACTTCGAGCCTGTTGATTTATTTTAGAAATGACACACAATAAAAATAGCTTCTTTGCCATTAATGCACGTGCTCTCAAATATTTTTCGACAATGCAATTTAAGTTTCTTTAGTGCACGGCACACATCCCAGCATTCAGTGGTAATAGGATGGCGAGAATCACAGAGATTACAGTCTGGTGAGTCGGTGATACTAATTCGGTTAGAGTTTAGACTTATACAGTCATGTCCTGTAAAAATTCTTAAATGAACTACATCAGCTTTTCTGGTAGCCTCAGGAACCCAAGACGGATTCTCGTTCAAGATTGCCAGCTCTTGTCCTTCGACATCTGCTTGTTTTTAAAAAAGTTTTTTTTTTACTTTTAATTTATTTTTTGCTTTTTAGTTATCGCTAGACAGAGGTTTCTCAGTCTGTTAATCTCATTCAACGCATCATTATTGAAAAGACGTTTGCCGGTTAATTTTGAACAGTCCAGCTAAGGGGTACTCAACGTTTTTTCCGCCAGGCAACATACATATGATAGATATGTCACTCGAGCCGTAACAAGAGGACAATGGGAAGGGGGGGGACAAACACTGTTAGATCAAAACAACATGAGACGAAGAAAAAGAAATTAAAATATTAAAACTCATTTTCTCTCTTTTTTTTTTTTTGCTTTTACTATAACACTATATTAAAAACGTAAAACACATTTTTTTTTGTAAATCCGTAATTTTAAACGAATTTTTTCAATGTTAATGCAAAATTTGGATAATACTATTCTACAAACCAGAAAAAAACTTTATGTGACTATATATAAAATTGAAGAAGTTTTTAAATGTTTTATTCAAAATTTGAGTATTTTTTGAAAAATCGTAAAAAAAAGTTGTAGCCTTTTATTTTTTAAATGACTGATTTTAAAAGAAAATAGCCTGAACTTTCTTAGTGCAGAATATTGATTCATTAACACACAAAAAATCATACGGAACGATTTAAAAGTCATTTTCATGAAAACGCATCGATTTTGACTCATTTTAGAAAAAATTGTAAAAAATAGAAATATCATTATTTTTTAACAAATTATACCGTATCGTAGTGAAATAAATGATCTTCCCCATTAGGCTATTGTTTTTAGTCTCAATTTCAGAGAAAGAAAAAGATGGGTTTAATTTAAGAAAGGTCGAAGAGAGAGAGAGAATCGGAACTTCTTTAAGCTATATCCGGTAAGATGCCGGGCAGAATAAAAAGCTAACAGGAGTAAAAGATTTTCAATTAATATATTTTTAATAATTGCGATATCAGAATATATATCAACAAAACATGCATTGTCATCTAAACTAAACATGTATACAAAATTTCATCTCAATCAGTTCAAGACAACAGCTTCAAAATTGAGTTGCAAGATTCAGTCCGAAAAAAATTACTTTAATTAATATCTGCACTAATAAAACTCGAAGGTAAACAAACGTATGCAACTGTACGACTAGGTATATCTTCTCACGAACTGCATGATGCAGACACTCACCAAAAGTACCAAAAGATCGGAAATGATCCAAGAAATCAGTTTTAAACACTTATATTTCAATAGTGCAATTAGTTAAAAAGATATTAATTGAAAACCTTAAAACGCAGAATTATTGCCATTTTTCCCACCAGGTGCCAAAATACCAATTTCCTGAACTTTTTTTAATCTCAGACGTTATTAATACACGATCTAAATTTTATGAGACTCAAACAAAAAAAAATTACAAAATCGGAAAGATCATTTACTTCACCACAATACGTTACAAATTATTTTACAAAAAAATGATATTTTCTTTTTTTACGATATTTTCTAAAATGAGTGAAAATGGACACGTTTTTATGAAAATGATTTCTAAATGACTCCGATTGAATTTTCTTTCAATTTAATGAAATAATATTCTACACTAAGAAAATTCATGCTTTTGTCGTTCAGAATCAGTCATTTAAAAAATAAAATGACATTTTTTTTACGATTTTTAAAAAATACTCAAAATTTTATTTAAATACCTAATAATTTCTTTATTTATAAAAATAATCTCATGACATTTTTTCCTCGTGTGTAGAACGATATTATCCGTAATATGCACAAAGTTTGAAAATATTGCTTAAAAATTACAGTTTAAAAAAATTGTGTTTTTCGATTTTTATCCGCTTTTTGCGAGAAATATTAAAGTATTATTTTTGTTGCATTTTTTTATTTAGAAATTACCGTTGTTTACAATCGATATATGAAGTTCGAAGGAATTAAATTAAAAATGAAGCCCCGCAAAATTTAAATTTTAACAAATAACGCTATGCGAAATTGAATATATCTTCCTTTTATTTTACGTCTTTTATTTCTTTTTTTCCCGAAGATTTCGTAGAATGAACGCTTAGAACGCTGGATTATTAACTTTTGCCCCCTGGTTATAAAGAACACCATCACTTAATTTGTATGAATGTTTTAATAAATACTCAAAATTTTATTCGCGCATTTAATAACTTCGCCAGCAATTTTGTAATTGGATAAAAGATTTATTTCGTCACGATATAGTACGTTTTCCTTTCTTTTTTTCAAAACAATGATACTTTCCATATAAGTTTTTCTAAAATGAATCACTATCGATGCGTTTATATGAAATTGATTTTTAAAAAATCACACTTTGCTTTTAACAATTAGTGATTTAAAAAATAAAATGTTGAAAATTTTTTTACGAATTTTTTTTAGCAATATTTCATTGTGCCACTAGAGTGCTGCACCTATCAAGCTGTTTAAGAATCGTTGAGTGTTCACATTCTCGAGAGCTCTCATAGCGACAGGGGAAGGGGAATTTTCATGACAATATGATATGCATTTCAAAAAGTTCGTACAACGCCGGGGGTGAGTAAACCTGTATGACAAAGAAAAGAAGCTTAAAAAATTCGAAACAGGAAATTTTAAGTTATACACTAGGTAGAAGCCCAAGCAATATCGGCCGAATTGGAGGAGGGGGGTTGGAATTCATTTTTATAAAGCTTATTAGAAGTGCTAATTTTGTGAAGTAAAGGGAAAATTTATAAAATTAGAGAAAGCTCGTGCAATGCCAGCCCATGCAGGTAGCATTTTTAACTAAATGCGATATCGGAATATAAATGGTCAAAACATTCATTGCCAACCAACTAAACGTGTATACAAAATTTCAGCTCAATCGGTTGAAGATATCGAATTTACTTTACAAGTTAAATAAAAGCTTGTAAAATATAACATACTTTGTACGTGTACAGAGTAGAAGTATTATAAAATATCTCGTAGTACAAATCAAATATTTTACACGAAACGAAAAAATTATAATTGAAGGCACAAGGTATCTATCCCTACTAAGCGGGCGCTCTACCCCCTGAGCTACGCTCCTGGTCGACACCTGTGTTATATTGTAAACATGCTGACCTTAACTCCTCAACAAAATCGTTACAGTAACTAGGTCAATTATAAGTGTTAAGGGAGAAACTAGAATCGAGTAAATAGATTTATCTTAGAATGTTTCAAAGTAAATAGTTTTATAGATCTGTCTTTCTCTTAGTTTTCCCTGTAGAACAGTAAAAATATAACATTCTTTGTACGTATGCAGATTGGAAGTATTATAAAATATATCTTGTTGTACCACATTAAACGAATTTCAAAAGTATTTTATACGAAAGAGTAACAATTGGAGGCGCGGGGTATCGATCCCCAAACCTCTCGCATACTAAGCAAGTGCTCGACCATGCGAGATACGCTTTTGGTCGACACCTGTGTTATTGTAAACATGTGCTCGCCTTAACACCTAAACAAGATCGTTACAGTAATTAGGTCGATATGGGAATATAGATGGTCAAAACATGCATTGTCATTTAAACTAAACATGTATACAAAATTTCAGCTCAATCGGTTGAAGACATCAGCTTCAAAATTGAGTAGCAAGATTCCACACGAAAATTTTACATTGAAAGTGAAAAAAAAAGAAACTTGTAAACAAATAGGAAAGAACGCGGAAATTTTAATTTGTTCAAGAGAAATAGTTTTCGAATGAAAATTAAAGTGATTTAAAGTAAGTTTAAGAACTGCGAGATACCGGATATCGAACCCTGGTAATTCTTTTGAAGTCAGCTTCTCTAACCTCTAAGCCGCGAGGGCTTGCGGAAAATGGTAAAGTAAGCTTCTAACATGGGTAAGAGTTTTTTTTAAATATCTTTTTAACTAATTGCGATCTTGGAATATATGTGTACAAAAACATGCATTGTCATCCAAACTAAACGTGCATACAAAATTTCAACTCACCTGGTTGAAGACACCAGCTTCAAAATTGAGTTCCAAGATTCTACCCGAACATTTTACTTTAATTAATATATGTTTAACTAATTGAGATATCGGAATATAAATGTTCAAAACATGCATTGTCATCCAACTTTAACATGTATACAAAATTTCATCTCAATCGGTTGAAAACATCTGCTTCAAAACTGAGTTGCAAGATTCCACCCGAACATTTTACATTGCAAGTTAAATAACAGCTTGCAAAATGAAGTGTGTTTGTTCATAGACACAAAGTGATAGTTTGCGGAAGTGTGCAGGATGGCCGAGTGGTTATGGTATCGGACTCAAGTTTGGAGGCGCTTTATTCCGCGATGTGTTGTTACAATCCTTCTGATCCGTGCTTTGATCACGAAACCCATGTGGACGGTGGGACTGTAGCATTACTTTTAGCTTAATTATTTATTCCCTTCATTTGAACATACTTCATTCAGTTAAGGGATTGCTCTGTTGACTCTGGAGTGTTTTTACAGCGAGTGTGTGCTCTCACTCTCACATTCATTCCCGGACAGATGTGTAACAGCAACACAGAATGCGCCTCCTTGGAGTTATCTGATTCGCGTTTACGATCGCGGGCTCGAATCCGCTTCTGCACGTTTTAAGTTATAAATATATTTAATATAATAATGCGCTTCAAAAATTTCTTCTTTGAATAATTAACAGGATGCACTCTATAACGAACTTTATTGAATTTGAATTTTTAGTTTAGTTGAGTTATTTCTCATCAATAAATGATTCTTGAAAGCATTTAAATTGAATTTTATTTCAATTACAAAATCATAAAATATAACTTTTGACTTTTTTAAAATATTAATTATTCTGACTCATTTTGTCAAAAAGAAAAGTAAAAGATATTGATGGGGTGCCGCCTTTCCATAAGGATTACAACAGTAATTTGTATATCGGCCCTGTTGTTGTTTACAAGAAGAGGAATTTCTGGGAGTGCCTCTCACCCCACCGAAAAGGGTGACGCATTTCCCACGCCTGGAAGAAGGCAATGTACCCATAAATACATCATGGTATGGGATGTTTTTGGGAATTTCCCGCGTTTTGGGGGAGTCATGGACCGCGAGAAGATATCCCTCCGCTGACTCCAGTCAATCAGAAAAGCTGATTGTGTTTCGGAAAAGAATCTTCTCCAGAATACAGAAGTAAACCGCCGCGAAATATAAGCGCATGCACGACGAATTTACTCACTCTCTGACACAAATTTTATCACCGATTTTGGTCTGACGACCCTTTGACAAAATGTCGCGGTTGGAGACTCGCGAGATGGCCACGCCATGTCCTCTCTCTCTCTCAGATCCTATTTCAGTTAAGTTATCATGTATATCCTTAGTATTTAACGTAATTTCAATCTTATTGTAAATAAATTAAGTGTTAATTTAAAGAACGGCCTTTTAATTTAGTGTCCTGTTTTATTTGTCTTTAAAAGATCTAATGTTTAAAACGTAAACTATAGTGTGACGCCAAATGATAAATTAGAACCTGGGCATTTAAAATGGATCTAACGAAATAAATTAATCAATTTAACATTAAGTTAACCAGCGTCGCATTATCTGGTGCCAGTTGACCAGGATTTTAAATTTTTTGGTCGATAGAAATTTTTTTTTTACATCCTTTGAGTTAGAATTTTTTTTTTTTTTTTTACAATTTTTTTGTAAACGTTTCTTGATGGATCATCAGGACAAATTTTCATCTCGTGTGCTACTGTGTATTTTATGTATTGCTTGAATTTGATACTGTGAATTTTTTTCTTGCAGTTTTGTCAGAGAGTCCGGGGTGCAACGATGACGCAGGTACTTGTGTTCTTTAATTTTTTTTTCTCTTTCAATATTGATGTGAATTTTTTTTCTCTATGCATGTATTTACGCGAGAGCCGATTAGTTAAAAGTTTCATTTAAATTTAAGAGTTCATGAATTTCTGTTGCCTTGCACGAGTGCTTGAATTTTGTTTTAATTTAACGGTTTTCGTTGTGAATTAGATTCGCTAGAAATTTTGGTCTTAACTAATAATTAACAAACATGCCACGTACACGACAATCAGACCCCCTTTTGACGCAAACGGCGTTCGAGAAATTTAATCTATTTGATCTAATTCCAATGTACGACGGAGGTGAATCGTTAGGAATTCGCAGGTTCTTGGGAAAAATAAATGATGTTGCGAATTTAGGCAAGTGGTCAAACGATGAGAAAGTAACAATTCTAAAATTAAAATTAACGGGAATAGCTGAGGAATTTTTTCTATCCGACCCAACACATAGTCAATTGACAGAATATAACGATATCGCAAGAATTCTTATTGGAAGATTCGAAAAAGCTGTACCTTTATCAACGCGTCTCCAATTATTTTCATAGTGTATCCAGGGTCCTTCGGAGAGCGTACAGGAATTTGCAGCACGCATCAATAAACTGGGAACACAGATTTTCCAGTCAGGAAATTCGGCTCAAAATACCGCGGTGAGAAATGCGAATGACCAATTGTTACAATCTCGGTTTATAAGGGGTTTAAGAAATGACATACGAAGATTTGTTCTTTCCTGCGATCCTTTGAATTTAGAGGAATCAATCAATGCGGCATTGATAGAAGAGCAGAACATGAAATTAAACCAAATAGCTAGCGAAGAGAGATCCGGCTTGTCGTCCGCACAAACGGAAAATCCAGTTCTTTCAGCATTAGCGGATAGATTACAAGAAATAAATTTAAGGGTCGGCCGTCTACAAGAGGCAAGTGCAGTTACAGCTCGTAAATCAGGTGGGAACTATTTTAACAGAAGAGAGAACGTTTTCAAGTGCTTCTATTGTGGTATTCAAGGACACAGACAGGCGGTATGTAGGAAGAGACAGAGGGACGAACGCGCTGCCCGTTACCAGCCCCCCGGAGAAATGCCGCAAGCGAGTATTCTTTTTCAAGTAGCCCCAGGCCAGGAGGGAGGCATGTACATTTCACGGAATCTACTCTCCGCGACAATTACGCAGCCCCCAGGCATTCAGTGAGAGTGACACACACAAATTCTGATAATAGGGGTTTTCAACGTTTTCGCACAAATGAGAATTTAAACTCCCGTGGAGAAAGCCGTATTTAGATTTTTTTCATTCGGTAGAGGAGCGGTTTTCTCCGATTCAATCTCGAGATAAAATATTTGATCTACCAGTTGCAAACGTTAAACCCAATGCAAACGTTAAACATCACAAGTTTAGAATTTTAATTGACACAGGTGCATCCGTATCTTTAATGTCTAATTCTTTTTTCACTAAAATAAAAAATGATAACTTTAGGGAATTTAATGTTTCAATTCAGATTAAAGCTGTAAGTGGAGACACGGTAGAAATTATCGGTTGCTATGAAATACAATTGTCATTGGGGGAATTTCAGTTTCGACATATTTTTTTTATAACTAAACAAGAGATTAACGATAATTATTGCGCTATTTTGGGATACGATTTTTTGAAAGTATGGGATGCAGTTTTATATATAGGAAAAAACCGTTTATTAATTCATAATTTTTCAATTCCGCTTGTTCATTATTCACTCCCCAAGCGAGTGGTACAGAGTAACTTTATAAATGGATTTTTAAAACACAAAACGTGTGTGGGTCCCCATTCGGTCACAAATGTTCGCATACATGTTGAAACATTACCTAATTCGACGTCACTGGCCACTATTCGGAGTTCAGCAAATCTACGAAATAAAAACATTCATTTAACCAATTCGCAAATTAAAATTGATCCACAGACAAATGACACCGTCTTAGAAATTAGAAACGATTCAGATAACATAATCACCCTTAACAAGAACATGAAAATAATTACAGTCAATAATTACGAAGACTTTTCTTCTGATTTTCCGGTTTCTCAAGATATCTTACCCCCACTCACGGAGAAAGATTTCAATCTTTCAGGTTTGACCAATAAAATCAAAAACAGATTATTTCAACTTTTAATTTCGCACAAAAGTGCTTTCGCTCGCTCTACGATAGAATTATCCGCAGCCGCTACGGAGCAGCACAGAATCAGTTTACAACACGATTATCCCATTAAATGTCCAATTTATAAGATTCCATTTAGTTTAAGAAACCAATTTCGACGTCAAAAATAGCAGATTTAGAAAAGGCGAGAATTATTTCGAAATCCAATTCCCAGTATAATACTCCGGCCTTGTTTGTCAAACAGAAAGAAAAATGGCGCCTAGTTTTAGATTTTCGGAAACTCAACGAAATAACTGTGACTCAGGATTTTGTCATTCCAACATTGGACGACATATTACATGAAATTTCAGGTTCAAACTATTTTTCGGCGTTAGACATGAAGTCAGCATTTAATCAAATTCCACTACACTTTGCGGACAGGCATAAGACGGCATTCTCTACTCCCGACGGTGATAAATATCAATTTAACAGATTATGTTTCGGTTTAAAAAACTCGCCTAAAGCTTTTCAATCAATCGCACAAGGAGGTCCTAGGAGATTTATTACACCACGGAGCTTTGGTTTATATAGATGACATTATTCTATTCACTAAAACTATAGATGAACATTTTGAAGTACTGGGTAAGGTTTTTGAACGCTTTGAAAGAATTCACTTAAAATTTAATCCGAGTAAATGTCAGTTTCTAACGAAAAGTTGTAAATTTTTAGGGTTTGTGGTAACGCCGGAAGGCATTCTTATAGATAAAGATAAGTCCGTATCAATTAATGAGTTTCCAGTTCCAAAGGATCAAAAACAAATTAAATCTTTTTTAGGGTGCTGTAATTTTTACAGGAGATATATCAAGAATTTCGCGAAACGTGCACTTCCCTTAACGAATCTATTGAGAAAAGACACTCCATTTGAGTGGACATCCGAAACGCAGGAGGCATTTGATGATATTAAGAAAAGCCATATTGAATCCACCGGTTTTGGCACTACCTGATCAAAACGCGGAGTTACAAATAACAACGGACGCTTCTTCTCGCGGCATAGGGGCAGTTTTAGAGCAAAGATATCCTAACTCTGAAGTCAAACCTTTATATTTTTTCTAAGAAATTAAATCCATCACAATCGAAATATAACGCAACGGTTTTAGATTTTTCGCGATATATACAGCATTAAATTTTTTTAGACCTTTCTTGTTAGGCAGAAAATTTAAAGTTTTTACCGATCATAAGCCTCTCGCGGGATTTCTTTCTAATAAAAATCCCTCTTCCAAAATTTTGCGTTGGAAATTGGCTCTGGAAGAATTTAATTACGACATACACTACATCAGGGGATCCTTAAATTCAGTCGCAGATCATCTTTCTCGTTATATTAACAACATCACAATAGCTTTACCGGACTCTAAAGATCTCATTAATATGCAACGCGAAGATTCTGTTTTAAGCACTATCATACAAAAAATTGATCAAAATGATGTTAGCCCACAAATCAGCAACTATTTTATTAATGGGGAAGGTTTGTTATGTCATTTGTCCAAGCGCCCCTCGAGATCACCCAGGTCTAACACCACTAGAAAGCAGGTTTGCATTCCACATTGTCTAAAAGCTAAAATTCTCGAATCAGTTCATTCAGAATATGGAGGACATCTTAAATTTTTTTAAAACTTATCATCGACTCAGC